TCTCATAATCAAAATTTGATTATGAGTATTTTAAATATTAGTAACATTTATACAATTAGAATAAGGCCCCATGTCCTAGAAATCGCTATAAAATTGCTGATTAATCACGATATATCGAAATGATAATCGTGAGCTGAAACGCGATTAATCGTCGATTTTTAATGATATTTTTAGCGATTATTACGATAAATCGCGATTTATCTCCAATTTTTTTCAATATTATTATGTTGAGAAATAGTCATTAAAAAAAACCCGACTGAAAAGACGTTTCCGTTTCATAGAAAACTTTTTTTTAAGAAAAAAGAGTTAAAAAAATGAATTTCATATTTTCTGAAAGCCTCTTTCCTGTGTTCTTTTCTACACTGCTCCAGAGTTACTTCCATATCTTGATCCGCGTTATCTAATTTTATATTTAGATAGAAAGACTAGTGTATTATGCATTAGCCTATTTTGTCATATTTATCTTAGTTTGAAAATGCTATATAAATTAAATGGAACAGTCAACTAAAAAAAAGTATTTTCAATATTTTTTTCTCTTTAATTTTACTTATTTGTTTCTCTTTATGTCTAACAGACAGACGATTATAATCATGGATATTAATTTACCTTTATTACTCACTTGAAATAAAGGATAAATGTAAATAAAATATTTATGTTTATGAAATAAAGATAAATAAATGAAATCCTTATTTCAAAAGGTGAAGACAAATGAAGTCCATCTTTAAAAAATAAAGATAAGTAAAATCTTTATTTAAAAAATAAAGAAAATGATACTGTTAAATAAAGCAGAGCGGATATATTTCGTTTATGACAAAATACATAGTAAATAGAAATTATTAAGATCATAAAACTATTAATTAAAGATAATCTACAAGCATGTCTTATATTTCATGCTCTTCTACGTACTTTCTCATTAAAATTATTTTTTTCTTTTCCTTTATTTAATTTAATCTTTTCACGTATTTTGCGAAAAATGAATTATTTATTGAGGTGTATTTTTAGACATTGATTTTTGAATCTACAAAAAAAAGCATTTGAGAATTCTCAGAACGCCATAAACGCATTTTTTTCTTTCTAATTATGATTTTCGATCGTTTGAAACGGGTTCATCAATTCGAAGAATTCATTCTTAGGATTTTTCTCTAGAAAACATCAAAGGATATCAGTGAGCTTAATGATATATAATCAGAAAATGAATAGATTCTATTTTTTTCCTCTATAAGTTGATATATTCTCTAACTATTGTGCCCTATTTGAAGCCATGTAGTGCACTTCTGAGAAAAAAATATTATTTTAAAAAGTAGACATAATATTTTTTGCTTGAAAATATATTTTCTATTGGTGTTACGATTTTTTGTAGTTTTCTAATCACAGACGGTTCTTGCAATTGATACACCAATATTGTCGGAAAAAAAACGAAAATATCGATTAATCGAGCTTCTTTTCCAAATCACGATAAAATCTGACTTTATCTTCGATTTTTTGACATATTTCGATTAATCGTGATTTTACGTTCATTTTTCAATAAATCACCAAAATCACGCCGATTTTCACGACATGGGGCATATCTAACAATTTTTTATCTATATATTCATACCAGACATGTGTATTTCGACTAGCCGTTACTGAAAAATAAAACTCTTTCCAAATAAGATGCAAATAGATGTCAGAAAATTAGTTGGCTAAGAAAATATGGACGATGAAAAAGGACTATTGAGATTGAATATTTGTTTAAATGTGTTTAATAGACATTCATTCAAATTTTATTTTTTAGATTCAAATAAAAAACGTACTGAAACAAAAGTAACTACCTAATAATTCTGGTTATTTTTTTTTGGATGTACTAATCAGACTTCTCTGTCTTATAGAATAAATTTTTTTCCTATTATTTATTATTTTCAATTTGTATTTTAGTGTATTCTTACTTTATGCAACAGAGATAAAGAAGTCGTCGTCGTTAATGTGGAGACAGTTCAATATTTGTTTAAAATAAAATTTTATTCTTTTTTTTTCTTGTTTCTTTAAAAAAATAAATAAAACCTCATTCCCTAGTCGACTCTCCCCAATGGGAAGTCCCTGAAAAATGCGAAATCCCTGTCGTAAACCCCCGGGGGAATCGCATATCTCAGGATCTCTCTAAAACTCCTCGGAGAGTTCCTCTAAAGTTTTCATAAATTTGAATTTTTCAAAGAACTCCAATAGTGGCTTCTGGAGAGACCCTGATAATACTTATCAATTCCCTAGGGAGTCTCGACTAGGGTTTTCATAATATATAGAAATGAAGAAATATTTCATAATCTTCTTTTTACACAAACCACTTCAGTACACAAAAATAATATATGAATACTAAATTGGTGAGTTTCTTCACTAGAGTAGATTGTTCATATTCAATCTTAATCCATTTTCTAATCAAATTTGTATAAATGTAAAGCTGAACTTAAATTTGATTCGATTAAGTTTGTTATCAGAATCATTTTTTGATCAATAAAAGTAAGTATCAAGATCAGATAATGAAATCTCTTCTGTTAACTTTCATGAGTTCGAATTCAAGCGTTCTCAGAGTGAGACAATATCTAATTGTCATGTTTATAAATATGAGACGAAATTGATTTAGCGAAAAATTTCATCATCATAGAACTTAAAATAATTGTCGAGGAGTGTTGATTAAAAGTGAATATAAACATCATGATCATTATTTATCCCAGAAGCTGATATATCAATAGATGGCGCTGCCTCTATTGTATTCTATTCTAGTCACGAGTAAGATAGTAACCTCTGTCGACGTTTCAACCGTACACAATAAAACTTGCAATAGTTCATAAATTATTGGATAGAAAATTTTATTAATTTACCGATAGTAAAGTGTTGTACGTTTAATATCATAACCTCTTTGTCTAATTTTTTCTCTTAAATCATCTAATGTTAAACAAGGTCGAATAGTTTCTGATTGTCTTCGATCATCACTTGCTCCACCAACTTTTGCAATTTCTTCAATAATTTGTAATAAATCAGGGCATTCTTCTTCAACACGTGGCCGACCAGCAACACGACGATAAAGTTTTTTTAATTGTGGATGTAATTCAGGTTTTGTTTCAAATAAATGGTCAAACTAGAAAAATAGAAAAGAAAAAGAAAAAAAACTTTTAAATGAAAATAACAAAAAAAAAAAAAGAATTGTTCATACAATTTGTTTTTTTTTAACTGTCTTTACAGTTGAAGATATTTGTTTTGATTGAAGAATTTTTAATTCATAAAATTTCTTTTTTCTATCTTTCATTAATTGTTTTAATTGTTTTCTATTTTCTGGTGTTGTTATACCCATTTGTCTAACTTGTACTAATGTAGCAATACGTTCATTAATAGAACTTAATGCTAGAAAAATACGTTCTTGTGCTGGTGTTTTTTTTTGTTTTACTAATGCTTCAAATGGACCACCAGTTGCATTTGGTAATTGTAATGGATATTCAAATAGTAATTCTTCTTCAGCTGTTCTTCTACGTTTTTTAATAAAATAAGCTTTTTTCCTATTTCTCTTTTTCTTTTCTTCATCATTTTCATCACCATCATCATCATCATCATCATCGTTATTATCATCTTCTAAATCATCTTCATCCATATTCTCAAAATTCTTTGATTGTTTATCATCTGTGATATTTTCATTATTATTATTTTTATTATTATCTTCATTTATTGTATCATTAGATTGATCAATTTTAGGTTTCTTTTTGGGTTGACAACGATTAGTTTTTGATTGAGTTGAAAAAGAAGATGATAATGGATCTTCAATATCTTCCTTTGAAGATGCTTCAAATTCATTATATTTTTCTAAATATTGTTCAATTTTTTCTTTAACATATTCTTCATTCCATTTTATTTTATTCCATTCAACTTTTGCATCATAATGTTTGTCCTATTTTAAAACACCAAAAAAAAAAAATTTCGTTTTGTTTTAATTAATTAAGGAACTTACAGCTCGTTTTTCATTAGGTCGAGCTTTCATATAAGCATCGACAAATGTTGTATAAAGAGTTGGGCCTTGAATCTTTTTCCTTGGTTTTGAGGGCATAACGAACAATACCTATCTACTCAGAGAACGCAAATAATGACGTTTACACACAAAATTTAAATATACATATATATATATATATATATATATGTACAGGAGAGAGAGAAAAAAAATACTACTATAAGTAGTAAAATAAATTTAACGATGATTTTTTTCTCCATGCTCGTTTAGAGACGGTCACAATAAGAGTATTAACCAATGGTCATTCTTTTTTTTTGAAGCTTTCGATGATAACGATATCCTCATGTGATTCGAACCGGAAAAAAAATTGACGATGTACCGCCGGTTGATCGTTCGGTATTATGTGCGCTCTATCGGCGATAATTTCGCCTTTCACTCGTAGGATGAGGGTACGAACCTACTGATTCGCTGTCTCTTGAATCTAAGAATGAATCTATATCGCCGAAGACAGACAATTGATTTTTTTAAAATTTTATTATTAAAAAGTTCTATTTTGATATCATAGTTTCATCTTAAGTGAAATATAACTCTTACTAAATTGCTTTTCTCAGAAAAAGCTATATTTCATTCATCATCAAATTATAATACCAAAATTAAAATAGAAAAAAAAATATTTTTTTAATAATAAAGTAAAAAAAATCAATTTTTGCTATGCAATAATATAGATTCATTCTTAGATTCACAAGACAGCAGATCGTAGATTTTATGATAAATAGTGTGTTTTTGCTTCATTTTTTCGACTAGATAATGTCCAGAAGAATAAAAATAAAATAATTCTTGGTTAAAAAAAAATACTTAATTTGTCAGTTTTAAGATTATTCTAAATAAAAGAATAAAACAAAAGAATAAGATTTTTGTAGGTTAAGACGTTTAGGCTGGCCTAAATCAATAGAATAATAATATTTTCCATGAATAGATACTTTTTATTTTGACATTGAAATCTTCGTCAATAAAACAATGATATAATTAATAGTAATTTATATAAAAAACACTTACTGCTTAGTGCAATGTTCACAATCACCCAAATTACAAAGAGCGTTATGAAAGAAAAAAATATATATATGGGGTTGACCAGTTTGACCGGATGTCTCGATGGTTTTTTTTATCATTCAGCTTCTATAATACATTAGAAAAATCTGATTTTTTTTACTCGTTATAGTACTTGTATAATGCTGGTGATCTGCCAAGGATGAGAGGTTTATCTCTTGTTTGAAACCTATTAAAGAAAAAAGATGGTTGACCTTTTCCTTTATTTTTTACTAAATCAAAAATGTCTTCACACACGCATCGAGGGTTTTAACGAAAAGAAAGAAATGATGATATATGATCGAAGATATCCCATCTATGGAAAAAGAAAGAACAAAGAAAAAGAAAAACATACTGTGAGGGCAATGTCCGTAATAAAACCAAAATAATTGAATGTCTCTAAAAAATCTTTTGATATTTATGAACAGGTTTTGCGAAGATACTCAATCATTTTGGTTTCAAACAAGAGATAAACCCCTTATCCTTGGCAGATCATTAGCATTATATGAATACTATAACTAGTAAAAAAATCAGATTTTTCTGATATATCATAGAAACTGTATGATAAAACATACTTCGATAATGTAATGGTTTTACCACTGGTTTACCGCGGTAATCAAGAAAACCAACGGTATATTACGTTACTCGAGGCAACCGACAGTATACCGATGTTAGTTCAAGTAAATGCACGGCATGGGTCATGTCTATTTGATTGAAAAGAACGCAAAATAGGAACAAAACAATATTTGTACATATGGATCAGATCACGAGAATATTTAACTCATCATCAATCTTATGGTGGGTACTCAAATGACTACAAGACAGACTAATTGTTATAACTCATTATGTAACATGATACGAAACAGCGTAAAATAAATAAAATGACATTAGAAAAAGATATTTTAAGAAAATTCTTATAATCAAACATATTTTATGAGAAAATCATTCAAGATGATTCCGAAATTTCATTTTTTCGATATTATCGGACATATGTTTTCTGCTTTTCTCAACGCTTAAAGTGTGTCACGAAGATGGGTTAATCAATATTTGAAAATCCTAATATTTAAACATTCAAGTTAACTTCACGTATGATCGAAGAAGTTGAGCGATAGTACCAATACATGTGAAACTAATCAAATATAGAACATTTCGCAACATATATTGGTTTTGCCAAAGCTAAGAATTAAAAGCTAATACCGAAAACAAAATGCTATTATAGCTCAGTGTGAAAAAAGGTCTTATATTTATTGTATGGCTTCGAACACATCTGGTGGACCAAGAACTACATGCACAAATCGTGTCAGAATTCGGTGTAGGTATAGGTATACGAAGGAAATACACCCATCCACAACCACAATCGTACTGACACGCATACCCACATTGCACCCATCACCAACACCGACATTCAGTGTAATGTAAATATCACATTGATGTACAATTCTATGTACATATTTATAGAATTTGGAAAAGCCTGGATCTCAAGACAAGTAAAGAAATGTATAAGAAAAGATCACTCGAAGAATTTTTGAATCACTCATTTTGTACTTTCTAAAAGTTCAAGATAATCATTTCTAAGAAATTCTGTTTTTATTTTAGCTTATCGTTTATATACAGTGGTGTCTCATCTTATTAAAATATTGATATATTAACTAATTGGTATGTTAAATTGAACAAGAAATGTTTTAAAGTAAAATAATATTCTCAATTTATTGAAAAATCAAAATATTGCTTTTTTATGAATGTTAGATTAATATTGACTTTTTTTTAGGGTGAAACAACATTTGAAGATTGTCTTGTTTCATTAAATGTTCTTTGTGATGTACTTTTAACAGTGGCTAAATTAATGGCACCATTTCTTGCTGAATATATATATATCAAATTTTAAGAAAATTAATGCTGCAATCTTCATCATCTTCTTCTGAAGAAGAATTAAGTGTTCATTTTCGATTCCAAGATCACAGTTCATTATTTTCTATTATTAATGTCAATAAAATATTTAAAAAGAATTTTTTTCTTAGAATATCGTTAGTAAATGAAGATATTGAATGTGCGATTGTTGCCGTACAAACAGTTCGTTGGGTTAAGTCGAGTGATATGAGAACGAAAAGTTGTTTCAATGAATATAGAAAATTAAATTATGTTTTTAGTATCCATTACCAGAATTTGTTCTTATTCATAAAGATGAATCTGTTTTAAAAGATATCGAATCATTAGAAAATTTTGTTCGAGAAATATGTTTATATTTTCTAATATATTTATCTCTCTATTTTTATTCTGAAGCGTTTAAATGTATATAAAGTAACATTATCTCAAGATTGTGAACTTTATGATGTCGAACTGCATACTGAACCAAATTATCCAACACTAGGCAAAAAATTTGGTGGTAAATATTTTTGGATGTTTATTTAAATATTTATTTCATAATAAATTTATGAATTGCTAAAGTTAAATCAATCGCTGAAAAAATTCGTCAAATGACTGATACAGATATTGAGAAACTATTGTCAAAAGGTGAAAGTGAAAGTCCATTAATAATAATTGATGATGTACCAATTGAATCTGAAGGTGTTCATTTTTTTTTTCGTGTGGTGAAACAAACACAATTTGAAGCTATTGCTAAACAAGGAGTACAACAACTTTATTCTTTGCCTTTTCTTTTCTTTGAATTTAATATTTTTCTTTTCTCTATTGATAGTGTGTTGTTTTACTTGATTATACAGCGGATGCAGCATTAAAAGATGAAGGCCGTATTCAGGAAATTACAAGTCGAATTCAAAAACTTCGAAAAGAGGCCTTTTTTTATGTCAATTATTAATTTTAATCATCCAATGTCATTTTTTTTCAATGCTAAATTAATTCCAACTAATGATATAACAATTCATTATTCAGTGGAACCGCAAACAAGTGAAATTGCTCGTGTTGCATCTGAACATCGGGATGAAATTGAAGTTGTTTTAAAAAAAACCATTTGTCCCGTCGATCAATTTAACGAATAAAGAAAACGTCAATGTGATTATCACTAAAAAACTTCCTGTATGTTTTCTTTGATTCTTTATGAAAATGATATCATTTTTTTTTTTTGATTTTGATTAAGTAATAGATGCCGAAATGGAATTTGTTATCACTCGAAATTCATAATCAATATCAAATAAAAACAAAAAACAAAAGTTTGTCTTAGTAGTGTTTGTTTTGTTTTGATTTTTATGAACTATTGAAACATTTATTAGTATTATTATTGTTTGTTGGCTGACTTTATGATTGACATCGTGAATACTACATCATCAAAATTCTTTCAGTAAAGAAACAAGAATCACTTGATCATTAACTGATCTAATTTTTCTACATCAGTCAATAGAAATTTGCAGAATTTGAAAAAGAAAGATTACTATTCATTGCACAAAAAAGAAGGGGCGTAGGTGTTTCTGTTCACCTACTCTTCGCTAACACCCACACCCATACCCGCGTTCCCCATTCGCATGAACGAAACGCAAAAGTGACATCCCTATCTGGAAAACAAACAAAAATAAAAATTGTGA